TTCATTCCTCTAGTTTAGGAGACTTTAGTTACTAAGAACCTTAACAACTTGGCCCTAATCACTATCTCCATTTTACATAACAACCTGTCCACAGTCTATAATCTAGCAAAACTGGCCTTCTCTGGCCAGTTCTGAGGCAGCTGAGGGCCACAGCACTTGACCTGGAGTCAGAAGATCCAAATTCAAACCTGACCACAGACACTGACTAGCTATGTGATCTTGGGCAAGACACTTAAATTCTGCCTCAGTTTCCTCAACAGTAAAAAGGGGATAATAACAGCACCTACCTCGAAGGGTTGTGGTGAGAACAGAATATCTGTTAAAATGCACCTAGCACCAAGCTGACAAAGAACTGGGGCTCTAGAAACGTATCTCCCTTTCCCCTTACCCCTATCCTCTGCTTGTGGATTTGGCTATGAATTAGGAGATGAGGGTTCTGGTTGCAGTTCTGCCCTTAATTGACCATAGTAATAGTATCATGTATCTGGAAGGATCTAGTTCTAAACCTCAGAGGTCATCTAGTCCAGGAAAATGAAGCTCAAAGGTGGGGTGACTTGCCCAAGGTCACATAGTAAGTAGCAGAGCTGGGATCTGAACTAGGGTTCTTTGACTCCAAGTTCAGGACTACTTTTACTACCTCCCTGGGCTTCACTATTCTTCTCTATAAAATGAGGGGAGATGGGAATGGGCAGTCTCTAAAATTCCCTTCCAGCTCTTAGATTCTATGATTTCAAGTTAAGTGATTTGTCCAAGGCCATACAATTAGTGGTGCAGTCAGTACTGGGACCATATGATTTATGATTTAGAATTTAAAGGAAAATAAACAATTGCCTAGTTTTATGCAGAGGAGGAAACCGAGGTAGAGATTGAGAGACATGTTCAAGATAACACAGAGCTAGAAGTTCAGTACAGCTTACAACACTCATTTCTCCTAATTAAAAAAACAAACAAAAACTAATTTCTCCTGAAATTTAGGTCAGGACCCTTTTCACCCTATCATATTTCCTTTGGAGTCCAAACCTAATTATGAAAGTACTATCATAGCACTATCACATCATACTCCCTACATGTTTGCACAGAGGAGACTGAATCTCTTTCTTTTCTGGCTTTTGCCAAGGCACATAGATCACATTTTCCATTTTATGTGAAGAGAGAGGAAAGAAAGAAGAGAGCAAATCTGAGTCATAGAAGCGTAGCCCTGAGGCCATTTCAGGTATTAGCAGAAAGCAATAAGAGACAAAATTTCTTTTCCAGGGCAACTGGAGCAGACGATTGGCTGTAGGGATATAAGCTCCAAGCCCTGGGGAGCTTATGCATCACTGGGGGGTCTTTTTGAAGAATCAAGGCTTCTCTTGAAAAGAAGAGAAATATTGAAAGGATTAAGATAGTTAATGGTTAGAGGCAAATGAGAGAATGTTTGCATCCCCCTCCCCCCAATCTTTCCCCTTTTCTTCCTAACTTCCCTATTTCTGTCAACAGCATCACTGTCCTTCTAATCACTCAAGTTAGCCACTTTGGGATCTTTGTCCACTCTTCCCTTTCCTTCACTTTATATCAGTTACAACATCCTGTCTTTCCCCACAATATCTTTGTCTTGTGTTCCTTTCTTTCTCCTCACACAGCCACTACCCTAGTTAGATCTCACACTGGGACTACTGACATAGACTCCTCACTGGTCGCCTGCCTCTAGCCTCGCCATTCTTCAATCCATCCTCCACATAGTTGGTAAACTGATTTTCTGGAAGGGAAGTGACTGTGCTCAATCAACCCTGGTGGCTTCTTCTGGTCTCTAGGATAAGGCACACACTTCTGTTTGGCCTTCACAGTCTGGCTCCAGTCTACCATTATCATCACATATGGCACCTCTCTCTCCTTCACATGCTCTACATTCCAGCCAAATGCTGCTCTCATACACACTATTCCATCTCCCATCTCTGGGTTTTTTGCATGGAATGTGTCCCCTACCTGGAATGTACTGCTTACTTATACCGGCATCTCTTAGAATCCCTACTTTGCTTCAAAGCTCAGCTCCTGTTACATCCTATAGGAAGCCAATCCTGGTTCCCCACCCCCCATCCCCGCTCAGTTGCTACTGTCTTCCTAACTAAAATCCCATCTTTTATTGAAAGCTATTCTCCAACCCCTTTTAATTCTAGTAGTACCTTCCCACTGTTAATTATTTTCTATTTATTCTGTATATAAAGTTTGCTTTGTATATATATTGTTTGCATGTTGTCTCCCCATTAGACAGCCCTTGAGGACTGTCTTTTTCCTCTTTTTGTTTCCCGAGAGTTTGACACAGTGCCTGGCACACTGTTGTTCTTGTTGTTCAGTTGTGTCCAACTCTTTGTGACCCCATTTGGGATATGCAGATAGTGGAATGGTTTTCCACTTCCTTCTCCAGCTCATTTTACAGAGGAGGAAACTTGAGGCAAACAGGGTTAAGTGACTTACCCAGGGTCACACAGGCAGTAAGTGTCTGAGGTCAGATTTGGATACAGCTCCTGGCCCAACACTTTTTCCACTATACCACCTAGCTACCCACCTGGCACACAGTAGGCACTTAATAAATGTTTGTTGATTGATTCCTAACAAAAATTACTTTTGAACATATTTTATATTTAATATTCTATGTATATTTTATTTCTCCCCACTAGAATGGTAGAAGGAAATGCTACTTGAAGGCTTTTTTTTCTTTTTGCTTTTGTATCTGTAGGGCCTAGCATAACATCTGGTATGAGCAAAGTCCCTCATAAACGGTTGTTAAATTGAATTTGTATTACCCTAATTTAAATTCTATTTTATTTTACTAATTAACAAATTGTCATTTCAAATTAGTGCTTAGCTATTTTAATAAAATAATGTTGTTTTTACAGTTAAAGGACAATTTATTTGAAATCACCTGACATTCAGGCCTATGGAAAGCTTTTCTGTTTGGAATATGTGAGCCTGCATAGCACAAGTATCACCCATCACCTGGTGGCAGCTTGCCCAAAGTGTGGACATATCATTCAGAAAAAGGAGAAATGTCTCAAATGTAGAAATTTCTGAAAATTTTAAAGCCAGGATAAAAGGGTTTTTTTTGCTATTTTTTAAGGGAGGAGGGAAAATGGGAAATTTTGGAGAAAATTAATATAAAAGTAATACTTATTTGTAGTACCTTGTACAAATCTAAAGTCACTATGTAAATTTAAGAAAATTAAATTATATTATGTGAAATCTGGCTTGTTTATGAAATTATGATGCTCGGCATGCATATTAACTTTAAAAGTAGAGTCTATTCAGACAATATCACAAATTTACTAACTGAATTTACTATACAATGTTTTAAATTATTATTATGAATGGAACTATAACATGCTGAACTTTTAGTAAGTCGCTATATCTCAATTTTTGGCAATTTATGAGAAACAGGCAAACTGGAGAATGGAAAGAATGGTCAACACAGTAAAACCTAAAAGCCATTATGTTTTCTGGATTTAACTGCCTTCATAGTATCAAACACTGTTCCTGATATATGGAAGGCATTCAGTAAATGTTTGTTGATTAAATGAATAGATGAATGAAAGGCCTTCTTTTTAGTAAAGGAGCTGATTAAAAAAAAAAAAAACCAAGAGGAAAAGGCCCTCCCAAACTCATTGATTATGACTTTTGACCCGTGGAATTTTGTCTAATCAGTTTATTTTTTTGGAGTAATTGCTATTGGTAATTTCTGTCTCCTGATGCTCTCTCTCTCTCTCTCTCTCTCTCTCTCTCTCTCTCTCTCCCCATCACCTACATGGTCTGAAAACTGAAGCTTTTCCTAGTTTGAAGCAAGCATTTCTATCCTTTCATGTGTGGACTCATTCCTCAGTGTAGTGTTAATATTTCCGAACATGGATCCATTTTTTTCACCTTCACCTCTAAAAATAGAGGAATTTTAATCAGATGAGAAACAAAGAAGAGTTAGAGACATGTTAATCAAGGGTGTCACTACAACATGTGTAAAGGATCAGGACCTTTTGGGAACTTTAGGTGGGAATCTGATGATTGAAAATTTACCTTCCCTTCACATATCCCCTGACTACATATCCCCCTGCTGAGGAAAGAAGAAACAGTGATCTAGAGAGGACATAGTTTGGGATCAAATTCCCAGAAATCAATCCCAAGGCTACTAGATTGGCTGAGTGTGTTCTCTAGGATTTTAAGCCTAGTAATGGGACAATTCTCAGGAACTGGGAGTTGTACAGAACCCACCACAGAAGGAATTGAGAAGATTTAATATTCAAAGTCAAGGTCAGGAGAGAAGAGGACGAAGAGGTCAACTCCTTCAGTGGAAGGAATCCAGAGGAAGTCACTGAGGAGTACCAGACTTCTGGAGCTCTGCTGCACCGCTCTGCTTTGCCAGTAATGAGCCCTCTTGCTTTCTATTCTTTCAACCTATATGGGCCAGTGTAAAACACCAGTCCAGAGGATGTAGCTTTCCCTGATAGGCATCTAGGTGGAGCAGTGGATAGAGTGCTGGACCCAGAGGCAGGAAGACCTGAGTTCAAATCCAGCCTCAGACACTAGCTATATGAACCTGGGCAACCTCTGTCTGCCTCAGGTTCCTCTTCTCTCTGAAAAATGAGGATAATTATAGTGCCTACCTCCCAGGCTTGTTGTGAAGATGAAATGACATAGTATTTGTAAAGTGCTTTGTAAAACTTTAAGTACTACAGAAATGTTGTCTATTATTATTATATGGTGCTTAAAGATAGCTTCAGAATGAGAGAGGAGCTCCTATTCCCATCAAGACCATTAGTGGTAGATACTACCTTCCTGTCCCTGAAGATCAATTGCCTTGGCTTCCTGAAGATGGTAACAAAAAGTACATAAATGAATATTTACATGCACTTTGATATTTTGATGAATGTTCACATATATCTATATGACTACTTTCCTATCTACAATGCTATGTGAAATATCTGCTAGAAAGTTACAAATATTTTTAGATACATATGTTCATTGTGAGCACTTACCTTGGGGATTAAAGAAACCAGTCATCCAAAATACGTTTGGCCTTCCTTCAAATATCCAGAAAGAAAATTGAGAATTCCTTTCCAGAAGTTCAGTAAACCAGAACCCAAGTGTTGAAGAATCCCAGGATATTCTTTTCCATAATGCAGGGATACGGGCATCGTACATGTTATCAAGAGCATCTCTCAAATTCTGTTAAGTCACAAGTAAAAAAATATATATATATATATTTTACTTATATATGAATATATATATATATATATACATAAATTAGATGAATCAATAAAAGGACAATAACTCTTTAAGACTTTAGGTACTCACCTCACTCATGATGATAGTCCCTTCAATGGCTAATTTTAAATCACTCAGGCTGATCCGAAGTCTTGTGATGACTTTTTGCATTCTGTCAATTTCTTGTCTAAGGAATATGTTCATAGAATTAAGAGGTCCCATCTTCTGCAGGCGAGCTTTCACCTGAAACAATAGAGAGCACACAACACTATGAAACCAACTTTACTTTTTTTAATATTTCTCCATGTGCCAAAATCTCCACAATGTCTGTTATTGAACCAAACATAACAGTCAATTCTCTATTCTCTTGGTGTCAGAAGGCAGATAAATTTTGAATTCTTTTTCCTACTGATTGCACTCAACCATTAATTGGAAATGTACTTTGAGAAAACGAAAGATTGTACCTTTGTTTTAAAATGTAAGTGAACTGTTAAATATCAGTTAGATTTTTTTTGGCAACGTAATATTCCCAAGAATGCAATTTTGACTACTTACTTTCATAATCCATATAGAGTTATTGTTAGAAATTTCACAGAAAAGTGAAAAGTATAAAGTCTTAATAAAATAGTTACTAATGAATATAAGCATGAATGCTTGAAGTTGTCTATGCACAGTATGGACAAAGGGTGGTGACACAGAGCAATTCTTAATAGAATGCCACTTAAAAAATTGATTTTGAGGCGAAAAAATCAAATATCTGTCATTTGTTCGTTCAGGTGGATTGATTTTGAATTTTGAAAGTTTTAATAAAAAAAACCTTTGGGCACATAAGCACTAAAATACAAATATTGAAAAGACTTAATAAATAAAAAAATCTCAACTATGACCGTAGTGCTGAATATCCAAGGTAAGTTTTTTTAATAAAAATCCTGGCTTGGCACCACACCCTTACATTTAGCAGACAGGTTTTCTACTGCCCAATTACTATGGAGGTAATTTTGGTTTAAAGGGCCCCTGAAAAGTAGTCAAGTCCAGTGTTCCTCAAACAATGATTTAGAAGTCACTGGGGTTTAGAATTCCAATTCTGGTGAATTCTTCTGTTGAGGATCACAGAAAGAAGGGAAAGTCACTTTGTCTTTTTACTATCTCAGCATCCTCATATGTAAAATAAGGTCCTAAACTTTCAACTGACCTCTCTGTTTAGCTGTCACCTCTCTGTTTTCTCTCCTCAGCTGCATATCAGCATCTCTGAATGCCTACATATCTTCACATACTTATTATAATGACATCTCAAACTCATTATGTCCAAAATAGAGCTCTGGGTCTGAAGTCAGAAAGACCTGAGTTCAAATCCAGTCTCAGAGATTTACTAGCTTTGGGATCTTGCACAAGTTATCTAGCCTCTGCTTGCTTTCCCCAGGGGTGTTGTGAGGAACAAATGAGATAATACTTGTAAAAAACATTTCACATAGTGACTGACACACAGTAGGTGCTATATAAATGCTTATTCTCTTTCTTTCTATTTGTACTGCCACCACCCTAGTATATTATCCCTTATTATCCCTTCCTTGCTTAGATGGAAAAGCCTACTAACAAATGCTTGTACCTCTATTCTGTCTCCTTCAGTCCATCCTACATAGCCCCCCAATCTTCTCTAGGGCTAAGACCTTTGGCAATTTGCTGCACAATTTGGTACACAAAAGACAACACAGTATATGGGAATAGAAACAGAAACACAGAAGGAAAGCCGTTCAGGGACACTAGGTATCTGAGGCTGCAAATTTTATCCAGGCTCAACCAGTTAGTATGTGTCAGAGGCAGGATTTGAACCCTGGTCTCTTGACCCTGAGGTCAGTTGTTTCTCCAGTATACTCAACTGTCCCTAGTCTGAGAAGAGCTGCACTACTCTACCAAAAAGAGATTGATCTAGTTTCCTCTATCCCTTTTTCTAACACACAGCTCTGTTCTTTCTGCTTCCCTATGCTGCCTATCGGCAGCCTTGGAGCAAGAGAAATGCTGGTGTCCTCCTCAGGGCAATGCCAAAAGCTATTTCTTTCTTGCCCCACAAACCAAATGCCAAGATGGCAGTTATAAGGCAACCCAGCTAAATGCTTTTAATATTCTCCTCTAAATAATTTAAAATGATGCTTCAAATAAAATTTTGGAGTGGCAGAGCTAACAGAAGGCTAGAGTGAGACTTTTTTTAATAAATAGTATTTTATTTTTTCCAATTACATGTAAAGATAGTTTTCAACATTCATTTTTTTGAGAATTTGAGTTCTAGTTTTTTGTCTCTCCCTCCCTCCCTCCTCTTCCCCCTCCCCAAGACATCAAGCAATCTGATATAGATTATACATGTGCAATCATGTTAAACATATTTTCACATTAGTCATGTTGTGAAATAAGAAACAGAACAAAAGGGGAAAACCATGAAAAAAACCCAAAAGACAAAAAAGTGAAAATAGTATGCTTCTATCTGCATTCAGATTCCATAGTTCTTTCTGTGGATATGGATAACATTTTTCCTTCCTAAGTCTTTTGGAATTGTCTTGGATGATTGTATTGCTGAGAAAAGCTAAGTCTATCATAGTTGATCATTGGACAATGTTACTATTACTATATACACTGTTCCCCTGGTTCTGCTCACTCCATTCAGCATCAGTTCATATAAGTCTTTCCAAGTTTCCCTGAAATCTGCTTGCCCATCATTTCTTAAAGTACAATAGTATTCCATTACCTTCATATACCACAACTTGTTCAGCCATTCCCCAATTGATGGACATTCCTTCAATTTCCAATTCTTTGCCACCACAAAAAGAGCTGCTATAAATATTTTTGTACATGTATGTCCTTTCCCCTTTTTCATGATATTTTTGGGATATAGACCTAGTAGCAGTATTGCTGGATCAAAGAGTATGCCCAGTTTGATTGCCCTTTGGGTATAGCTCCAAATTGCTTGGAGTGAGATATTTTTCCAACCTAAGTCAATTTAGGAGGTTGGCAGGAGAAGTCTGTGACACTGGGGTAAGGCCTGTCTAATGCTCATACACAAGGTAGCAGCAACAGGAGCCAAAGCAGAAGCAGCAGCTTCAGGAGCTCTTAGTCCAGAGATGGTAAGGGGTTCAGTCAACTGATCAGAAAAAGACTACAGAGGACTCTTTGCTGCCACTGGGTATAGCAGTCATTGCTTGATAACTTTATTGCCCATATGCATTTCTGGGTTGCAGTTCCAGGGCAGAAAGGAACACTGGGAGGTTGGTCACAAGGGAGCAGGAGCTTTGGTTGTAGTTCCAATGCAAAGAGAGTGCTAGCATTTGTGGCTGCAAGGGGCTGGGGCCCTTCCTAGGTAGAAACCAGAATGCAGACCAGGAGAGCAGTGACTATATTTCTCCCAGGATTACATCAGGAGGCACCAAAAACTTGTAGACCTCCAGAACTAGCTTTGAAAACAGAAGTATGAAAAAGCATGACGGTTGGCACAGTGCCTCCCCACCTCCAGGTAAGCAGAGCCTGACTTTAACATAAAGATCAAAGTCAAAAAATAGGCTGGAAAAAATGAGTATGCAAGCAAACAAACAAACAAAAGGACTTGACTATGAAAAGCTACTATGGCATCAGGATGACAAAAATATGAAAATATCCACTTACAAAGCCTCAAAGAAAAATGCTAATTGGATCCATGCTCAACAAGAATTCCTGGAAGCATTAAATATTTTTTTAAAAAAACTAAGAGTGGTAGAGCAAAAACTCAGAAAAGAAATGAGGGTGATGCAAGAAAATTATGAAAAGAGCTTGGTAAAAGAGGCACACCGTTACTGAAGAAAATAGTATCTTAAAAAAAAAAAACAACAACCCAGAATTGGCCTAATGGTAAAAGAAGTACAAAAATTCACTGTAGAAAAGAACTTAAAAAATAGAAATAGCCAAATGGAAAAGGAGGTACAAAATCTCACTGAAGAAAATAATTCCTTAAAAATTAGAATTAGGCAAGTGGAAGCTAATGACTCCATAAGACATCAAGAAACAATAAAACAAAGTTGAAAGAATGAAAAAATAGAAGAAAATGTGAAATGCCTCATTGGAAAAGCAACTGACCTGGAAAATAAATCCAGGAGAGATAACTTAAGAATTAATAGACCACTTGAAAGCCATGATCAAAGAATGGGACTAGATATCATATTTCAAGAACTTATAAAGGAAAACTGACCTGATGTCTTAGACACAGAGAGTAAAATAGAAATGGAAAGAATCTATTGATCACCTCCTAAAAGAGGTAATATTCTTCCAAGAATATTACAGTCACATTCCAGAGCTCCCAGGTCAAAGGGAAAATACTTCAAGCAGTCAGAAAGAAAAAAAGTCAAATATTGTATAGCTACAGTCAGGAGCACACAAGATTTCATGGTTTCCATGTTAAAGGAGCAGAAGACTTAGAATATGATATTCTAGAAGACAAAGGAGCTAGGAATACAATCAAGAATAACCTACCCGGAAAAACTGAGTATAATACTTCAAGGGGAAAATTAATATTAAAGAAATAGAGGACCTTCAAGTATTCCTGATAAAAAGACCAGAGTTGAATAGAAAATCTGACATTCAAACAGAAGACCCAAGAGAAGCATATAAAGATAAACATCAAAGAGTAATCATAAAGGGTCTCAATAAAGTTAAGCTGTTTACATTCCTATATGGGACAATGATACATGTAACTCTTAAGAACTTTATCATTATTAGGGCAGTTAAAAGGGCTTTATGTAGACAAAGGGCATGATGTGAATCAATTATGTTGGAATGATCTCCAGAAAAAATGAAGGGGTGAAAAAGAAGGATGCATTGGGAGAAAGGGGAAGGGAGAGGTAGAATGGGGGACATTTTCTCATATAAAAATGTGCAAAGAAAAGCTTTTACACTGGAGGAAAAAAATGGGGTTGGTGGTGGCAGGCAATACTTGAATCTCATTCTCATCAGAATTGATGTTCAAAGAGAGAAGAATAGCTATACATATACTGTATAAAAAAATAACATACCCGACAGGGAAATAGGCAGGGAAGGGGATAAGAGAAAAGAGGAGATGATAAATGGGAGGGTCAATTAAGGGAGGCAAATTGTTAGAAACAAAATAGGCTTTTGAGGAAGGATAGAATAAAAAGAGAGAAAAAGAAACAGAAGAAAGTGGGATGCAGGGAAATATACAGTAATCTTAACTGTGAATATGAATGTGATGAACTCTCCCATAAAATGGA